ATCACGGTTTCTGCTTGAAGTAGACCCCAGTGTCAGTTCCACGCCTTGGAATCTGTTAGTAATCCAGTAAAAATATCTATTGAGTTAAAATTGACACAGATAGCCTGACGCTTCAGTAAAAAGTCAACCTAAACCAAATCGGACCGTGTCGGTCGGTACACGCAAGGTACTCAGTCTATGACTTGCTGATTGCGCATGTGCAACACCTTGAAAGCAACAACTGCCCCGCCCTCTTGCGTGGGTCACTAGAAGGTAGCGCGAGATATTCTCATACAATCGTTTCAGCTATGACATCGCACATGCAACGGAATTATTGGCACGATTGTCAGATATTTCAATTACTAGCTGCTAGTCAAAAAATGCCAGGAGATGTCGTCATTCATAAATCGATAGTGAGCTAGATACGGCCAGCGTCGGTGCTCGCTTGCTCATCGGAACACAGGTAACCGCACGCCTTCCGCCCACTTGATTGAAAAGAGTATATTGACAAACATACGGGATTGTCAGCCCACCGACCTGACTATGATATCATAAAACAGCTATTAATATATATGACAAGAATTGTTATCCGACATGTTTCAATTTTATCCTCAGGGAGAAGACAAAAATGAAGAAGAAGACGAAGGACTTCTCCCAGAAGATAAAAGTGAAACGAACGAGATAAAATCGTGTCGTGTGATTCTTTTTGGAATTTCTTTTTTGTGCCACTGTGCACAAGGCTAGTAAATCTCACCTCTTTATAAGACTCACCTATAGGTCCCATGGAGTTCTGTAAACAATGTATGGACTGTATTACGAAGAATGTAGTTTCCCGCTCCCTAAGTTCTTTATAAACTGTACTCTTTATTGTTTCGCAATATTATTGTTTAATTATTTATTTTATAACCATAGGGTTAGAAATAACCGAGTTCATTAAAAATGTATGTGCTCTATAGGGCAAATATTACTTCTCGCGCACCGGTGCTTTAGTCATCCGAACGGCATTTATGACGTCATTCAAATCTTATTGTGACGTAAGGTGGTACTGACGTCACACTAGAAACACCGTCAAAGCTGAAGCGCTCTCGTTCGGGGAATTCAAGAATTCTGACACTCATTTAGTAAAATCAGAATGACACACATTTTCGTATAATAATCTTTTTTTTATAAAACAGACGCATAAGAAGGGCATGCGGGTTCTTAGCAAGCGTGGTTACAGCTTTTTTGCTCAATGAGGGATTTTATGATTTTGCTGTTTTGGTTCTGTAATTGTGCCATTTTTTTAAATGTGTCATCAAATGATGTGATTGTATAGAGAATCTCACCAGAGTGTCTTTGATATCAAATATATCAACACGAGTTGATAAAATAGGAAAAAGGGTTTTTTAAAGTTTTATCAACGAGTGTTGATATATTTGATATCAAAAGATACGAGGGTGAGATGTTATTTATCTACCAACATTATTCTTCCAACTTTTGCAGTTTGTAGACAGTAATAAGCAGTGTCTTAAGTGTAAAAGCTTCAGTAGCAGAGCCATTAGTGATGTCATTTGATTGTGACGTCATGGTAACGATGGTATGCATATAGAATACTAAACTCGCTCCCGTGTAATACCAATTTTATGAAACGAGTGAATAGTTGTAGTATCTGACGAGCGAAAGCGAGTCAGCTACCACAACTATTCACGAGTTTCATAAAATTGGTTTTACACGGGAGCGAGTTTAGTATTTTATTTATTACTTGCAGTGATAAGGTTTTTAGAATTATACTGTTGAGTATGAATAGGCTGACACCTACACGATCCACGGCATAGTCCAATTGAGTTTAACAGAACAATACTTCAAACACGTCAAACGTTGAAACGTATGAATTTAATACCATACAACGGTCCACCTTTAGAATTCAGGCGTCCGTTCCACAAAATTATCGTAGGGCTAATCCCAACTCACATGCTTTAACTTAGACTAACGACTGTCGTTGCGCTACAATACGATCGCCTTGTGGAACGGGCCTTGCACCTCAAAGTTTACAATCACGTCACAATACCCGATAACGTAAATTGTGGAATTTTGTTGCAAGGTCCATCGGCGAAACAATGCCATGTGACGTCAGCCTAGCAACAAGGTTGCTGGGGTCATCGAGTGTGCATCAGCTCCTCTCAGTGATCTATCAACTCCATACGCAATGTCGTTGAATAAGCCAAGGGATGTTGAGAGCTTTCAATATTTGTTCGTGAAACGTGTCCCGAGAGTACATAAGCATGCGTTTTGGTATTACACAATGTGTAATACAGCTGTATGTTTATTAAACGGGTGATCTCTTCACGGGCAAGTAATAAAAAGCATTATGATGCAATTTCATTGCAGCGATATCTACAATAAAGATATCGCTTGATCTCACCCAAGCGATATCTCCCGTGGGAGGCAGTTTTGGATGATAAATAATGTTTTGTTTGTTATCAAACGAGATCATACGCATGTTTAAGTTCATGCTAAATGGGAACAATGAGTGAATCCCGTTCTGGTGTCCCCAGCCGTGACATTGCTGGAATATTGTTAAAAGCGGCGTAAAACCCTACTCAGTCACTACGTAATTTTGCTGTTATTTGTGTTATGTTTGTACTCGTCTGACCTGCATTGTACATATTTGTACCGTACAGTACAGTATTTATGGTGTTGTACAGTGGTCAACTCACTTTAATGTAAGATTTAAAAATATAACAACGCATACAGAATCATGCACGGTTAATCTGGCTCTGTAAATTTCTTCTCTTCTTAATCAACTTGCCATCATTTCTTGTTCAGATCTATAGAATAAAGCGTTAGTTTGAGGTCAGATCTATATAAGGCGCCGCATTTGGCTGTGAACAGTCGCGCCATGCACCTTGCCAGATGCCCCTGATCATGGATTCGAATACCAGATTCGCACTGATTCTAATCTTGGTTAGCCAGCACCATACCTTTGAAATCATAGCTATGCAGTGTCTCACTTTTACCATCCGACACCTGCTGGTCGCTAATACATATCAGTAGGTTTTTTGTTTTTGTTGTTTGTTTTTTTTGTGTTTTTTAACGCCGCACTCAACAATATTCCAGCTATATGACAGCGGTCTGTAAATAATCGAGTCTAGACCAGACGATCCAGTGATTGACATCATGAGCATCGATCTACGCAATTGGGATACGATGACATGCATCAGCCAAGTCAGCGAGCCTGACCACCCGGTCCCGTTAGTCGCCTCTTACGACAAGCATAGTCACCTTTTACGGCAAGCGGGGGTTGCTGAAGACCTAGTCTCAAATTGGATTTGACAAAACAATTATCCAAAATTACAACTAGGCCGAAAACAGACGCTAAAACACTGCAAACATTAGATCCAACACACAACCCATGCATGCAATATCGAATTTGATACCCGTATCAAATACATCACCATCGAATTACCATTTCTTGTTTATTTCATTTTTAGCCACCATCACACGTGCGGATGTATACTTTCTTTCACGTATATACAGTTTATGTATGTAGGTGAGGTGGAATGGGGTTTAACGTCGCGTCCAAGATTATTGCACTTATATAGCGACGTGCATGTACGTGTGAGTGTTTGTGTGGCTGCTTGTACTAGTCCGGATTGATGCCGATTTATAGTGCTAGCTCACTGAGATACCATGAATACCCCACTCAGACACAGTATACTGACTTCGAGCCGACCAGTCCTTGTTTTAGCCCCTTAAAGCCGAGCGCCAGACAGGGTAACAACAAATACCATCTTTTAACGTCTTTTGGTATGACGCTGCCGGGGATCGAACCCCGGACCTTCCGCTCTCCGGGCGGACGCTCTACCACTAGACCACAGAGACGGTCTTGTTTATGTATGTATATATACAACCCTATATAGTGGCATCTTTCAGCACAAATCCGCGGGGATTCCGGGTACAAATATAGGTCCCCAACAACCTATGCTTGTCGCATGGGGCGACTAGATGGATCGTTGGTCCGGCTCTGTGACTTGGTTGATTGCATGTCATCGCATGTCAACTGCGTGGATCGATGCTCATGTCAGTCACTGGACTGCCTGGTACAGACTCGATTTTTTCCAAACCGCCGTCATAAAGCTGGTATTTTGTTGAACAAACAAAACATGTTTTAAGGAAAACATTATACACAGCCCCCAGATGATCCTGGTCAGAATGTGTCGCCAGCATCCAATGCTTGTCGTAAGAACCGACTTATGGGTATTGGTTGGTTACAATGGCGGACTGTGTGTAATCGTGTCCCGACGGCATAGATCGTTGTTCATACAATCAACTAACTACCGAATACTTTTCCTGATCCAAAGACCGCCTCCGTGGTCTAGTGGTAGAGCGTCCGCCCGGAGAGCGGAAGGTCCAGGGTTCGATCCCGGGCCGCGTCATACAAAAAGACGTTAAAAGATTGTACTTGTTGTTACCCTGTCTGGCGCTCGGCATTAAGGGGCTAAAACAAGGACTGGTCGGCTCGGAGTCAGTATACTGTGTCTGAGCGGGGTATTCATGTTAAACTGCGGCATGGTATCTCAGTGAGCTAGCACTATAAATCGGCATCAGTCCAGACTAGTACAAGCAGCCACACACATACACGTGCATGCACGTCGCTATATAAGTGCAATAATCTTGGACGCGACGTTAAACCCAATTTCACCTCACCTCCTGATCCAAAATCGATTACGTGCAGGCCGTCGTTTTATAGCTGGAAAATTATTACGGCGTAAAACGACATTCAGCCACTGAGATCTGTTTAATGATCAGTGTGCATTGTGAACATAAAACGGCGACTGAGCAAGTTGTATACCATTTTTGTCTACTGAACATGTTTATGGGGGCGGTGGGGTAGCCTAGAAGGTAAAGTCGTTCGCTAATCACGCCGAAGACCCGGGTTCGATTCCGCACAGGGGTACAACATGTGCAGCCCATTTCTGGTGTCCCCGCCGTGATATAACCGGAAAATTGCTAACAGCGGCGTAAAACCATACTCACTCTACACTCTAAATCTATGTGTTCTAATATAGAACACTGGACGCGTCCATACGTTCTGCCACAGAATACGAATGTTCTAATTCGTGCAGCACGTGTTCTATTGCTGAACGCCTGTGATCTGTTGTAGAACGCGTGTGTTCTCTCCTGGGAGAAGTCCATGCACATTAGCAGAGATAATGTGCTGAATGCTGTTAGACAAATTTAAATTCGACCATCATATTTGTGTTTTCGGAATATTTATTTTTGAGAAGAAGAGAGGCTGGTAGATTGGTATGTCAAACAGAAAATGTGTATAAGAAGGGTTATATTTTGAGTTTGATGAATAATAAATAGTTTATAAACATGGCATACTTTGGGTTAATAATAACTTATATGTAGCCTGAATAAATACAACAAGAAACATTACTGAAATACAACTCATTGCTAATACATGGAAATAACTTGCTTGCATTGGGGACATTTACTTGTATCAGAACACTGGCATTCTGATGGCTAATTTTAGCTGGATCTTTAATGGGTGCTCTGGAACTTATACGGTCTATTTGCTGAACGCCTGCGTTCTCTCCTAGAACGCGTGTGTTCTGCTGTGTTCTATAATGTTATATGCGAGAACACGTGTTCCATTAATAGAACATCGGTGTTCTGTTTTTCTAACAAGCATTCAAAGCTGTCCATGCTCTGTGATTCACATCCGTTATGTGAGAAACTGGCGTGACGTCGCATGTATTTGGCGCTACAATTTCCTATGATCTGAGGTGTGTCTGTGGTAAGTATCCATCTAGGAATACTTTTGTTTCATATTTAATATGTACCTAAAATAATGTAATATTTCGGCGATATATTCATATGCTGATCCCAACGAAGTAAAACCGGCCCCTTACAAAACGCATAGCAGACGACATATTACTCGCCATTTTGACCGTCATTTCTGCCATTGTTCCACACGCTTTATTTATAAATTATGAGTTGAAATTCCAATCAAAATTGCAAGTGTCACTATTTGAACGTTTCCGTTTATTTGAATGATGTTCAGATAAAATGAATATATATTTCAGGTTCTATATGAATCGCCTGAAAGTGCGAAGCGGGCTACATGCAACAAATCTCTGAACATCTAAATTTGGGATCCGAGGGCATGATCAGCAAGCATCGACAATGCATCGAAATCAGCAGAGAGTAGTGTAAGTATGTAATGAACAAAAAGAACTAAACCTTCATAGGACATGTTTTTGGCTATTTTATGTGAAATATTTTAGAGAATCAGTCTTGTTGTTTCTATTTCAGGGTGCATTGCAGATAATCAGTACCATCCATGGAAATTATTGCACAGGGCAGACGTCTACACAAAGGAGGAAAAGACACAAGGTTTTGCAGATCAAATAAGAAGGTACTTGTGTATATTTTGCTCTAACCTTTATCCAAGTAAGTGGTAACTTTGTTAGTCAAATGACATTTTTGGCAAAACATTTTGCAACCTATAAATAATGAAACAAATGTCACGGTAATCTTGGGTTAACTAACGAACATTTGTTATAATGTCCTATGTAATATGTACGAGTTTGATAACTATATGACTATGATCAAATAAATGTTTTGTGTTGTAGGATGTTGGGGAGTCATATTTCACATGAAGTTTCCTGAAGCCTGCGATGGTCATGTCGCTGTTACGAACATCGTCCTTTGGGGATATTTACCCACAAGAAACATCTGCGAAGTACATGCGCTTGAAACTTAAGTTATCTTAAGTATGGAAGTATGCTTCAATTTGCTACACGACAGTTTGTAATCTTTCATGAAGAACTCTGACTCATAAGTGACTTGAATATCCATGATCATCCCAAACAAATGTAATAAAGAATTCATGGTTGCAGTTCAGAATTTCGTCCGTGTGATTTTATGCCAGATAATATGCATGGGTGTATGGTTTAAATTCGTACACCTTGAAAAACATCGGGTAAATTGTATTCGACACACACGATGAGTTGTCGTTTCAGTAATGTGGAAGTACGTGTCCGAGAACGTGTAGTGTTCTGAATCTCGGTCCAGAACACTTTACAGGCGTTCTAAAAGCGTTACATCGTCAGAACACGTTGAAGCGTTCTAAATATGTTTGTAGAACACTCCTGTTCTGGGTCGAGAACATCAACGTTCAGAATATTTTCAGAACACATGGACGCGTTCTAAAAGTGTTACATCCATGTGTTCTGTCTAGTGTTCAGAAGTGGAACACTTGGGTTTAGAGTGTAAGGTTAAATAAACGCTCGTGCTTTGTTAACTATATCGTCGCGATCGGTTTCGAGTATACTGAGCCCTTTTGGAGTCAAATGTGTTTTTATCATCTTCGAATGAAACTGTTAACCTTTACAGATCACGCGAGGATATAACATGACAAGGAAAGCCAAATGTGATGATGTATTTTCTACACGATTTTAGTTTAAAATTCAAGGTGTTAGATATCTGTCATAGAGGCCGACTGAATATAGTGTTCCTGATTAAAATGTTATTCAACTATTTTGAAACAAAAATATTATTTCATTACTAAATGCGTAATAAATTCATTTATCATATTTAGGTTTGTGTTATCGATGCAATAATCCAATCTGACGAGCTTGATGTCAGGATCCGATAAATATGCAAATGAGGTCGCCAAGGAGTAACTACTTTCAAGCTCCAAGTGGGGTAGTCTAGTGGTTAAAGCGTTCGCTCGTCACGCCGAAGACCCGGGTTCGATTCCCGACATGGGTACAATGTGTGAAGCCCATTTCTGGTGTGATATTGCTGGAATATTGCTAAAAGCAGCGTAAAACCATACTCACTCACTCACTCACTCACTCTTTCTCAATAAATTATTGACAGGAATAAACGTTCCTAATATGTCCAGATAAGCCCGAAACATGGCATCTTCCCGAGGCAAGGAAGTTAACTAACGTGGAAACTGGACTTTTAAAGTCAGGTAACTCCCTTGCCTCAGGAAGATGGAAACATGGCGACAATCAAGTCATGTGGCACTACATAAGAAAATGGGCGGTTCCCTAAACTTGTATTCATGCGCGGTTTCGAAAGCTCCGCCTTTGATTGAAATTATATCATGACATCGATTTAATTAAGAATGAGATTAATTGGTAAAGGGATTATTACTCTCGTGTGTTCCCGAATCGTAAATATCGTTTATTAGGAATCGAAAATATGAATAATATAATTATTATTTCTCATATATGATATTTACGATACTGAAACACTCGGCTAATGACCTCTTCACAGCCAAAAAATCAAAATGAATATGGATAATGACGCGCTATCGACGTTGTTGACGTAATGCAGACACCATTGTTGACGTGAGCGGATATCATTGTTGACGTGAGATTGAGTGACGTGACAGAAGATAGTGACGCCACGCTTTATCATCGTTGACGTCATGCAAATATCTGAGAGATCGACACGGTTAGTTTTATTGATAATGCCGCTTCTTCTCTACAGATATTCATTAATTACAGATAACAAAGAGAATGTTAAATTCGAAGCAGAATCCACTAATTAAACAAACAAACAAACATAAATCGGACACTCCTTTTGAAGATTTCTGACATAAAGTCACACTATATCTTTTACTACTGCAATCAATCATTAAATTATTGTTAATGATATATTTAATTCGTGTGTGTGTCTTGACATTTAGCCAGGTATAATACAAAAGTAGAATACAATATATTGACACTTCGTGGAGACTAACAAATAGTCTGTGAAATCTTTTATCACACAATAAATTTCTTTCCTCTAAAATGCAATTATTTCTTTCTCTGATGCTGATTTCATTGTGGAATAGAGCTGGCTATACTTGCTTTTATAAAAATCCAGATTTGTTTTGTTTTCATAACATACATACTGTATATCCCACAGTATTTGTTTGTTTGTTTCTTTGTTGTTTAATGCCGCATTAGGAAACATTACAGCTATATATATGACGGCAGTATGTAAATAATCGAGTCTGAGCCAGACAGTCCAGTGATTGACATCATGAACATCGATCAGCAATTAGGATACGATGACATGTATCACCCAAGTCAGCGAGCCTGACCACCCGATCCCGTTATTCGCCTCTTACGACAAGAACAGTAGGCAAGCTTGAGTCGCTGAAGACCTATTCTGTCCCGAATCTTCAGGGTTAACAGTCTTGGTACAGGACTACACTTCGTGGTATAGCTTGATCCGGCCAGGGACTGTGGTGAGACGCATTGTCGGGACGTGAGTGAGTTTAGTATGGTTGTACGTCACTTTTAGCCATACTCCAGCTAAAGCACGGCGGGGCACATCAGAAACAAGATTCACAAATTGTTTGGTTGTACGTTACTTTTAGCCACAATCCAGCCAAAGCACGGCGGGGCACATCAGAAACAAGATTCACAAATTGTTTGGTTGTACGTCACTTTTAGCCATACTCCAGCTAAAGCACGGCGGGGCACATCAGAAACAAGATTCACAAATTGTATGCTTGTACGTCACTTTTAGCCATACTCCAGCTAAAGCACGGCGAGGCCCACCAGAAACAAGATTCACAAATTGTTTGGTTGTACGTCACTTTTAGCCACAATCCAGCTAAAGCACGGCGGGGCACATCAGAAACAAGATTCACAAATTGTATGGTTGTACGTCACTTTTAGCCACAATCCAGCTAAAGCACGACGGGGCACATCAGAAACAAGATTCACAAATTGTATGGTTGTACGTCACTTTTAGCCATACTCCAGCTAAAGCATGGCGGGGCACATCAGAAACAAGATTCACAAATTGTATGCTTGTATGTCACTTTTAGCCATACTCCAGCTAAAGCACGGCGAGGCACATCAGAAACAAGATTCACAAATTGTATGGTTGTACGTCACTTTTAGCCATACTCCAGCTAAAGCACGGCGGGGCACATCAGAAACAAGATTCACAAATTGTATGGTTGTACGTCACTTTTAGCCACAATCCAGCTAAAGCATGGCGGGGCACATCAGAAACAAGATTCACAAATTGTTTGGTTGTACGTCACTTTTAGCCACAATCCAGCTAAAGCACGGCGGGGCACATCAGAAACAAGATTCACAAATTGTTTGGTTGTACGTCACTTTAAGCCACAATCCAGCTAAAGCATGGCGGGGCATATCAGAAACAAGATTCACAAATTGTATGGTTGTACGTCACTTTTAGCCATACTCCAGCTAAAGCACGGCGAGGCACATCAGAAACAAGATTCACAAATTGTATGGTTGTACGTCCCTTTTAGCCATACTCCAGCTAAAGCATGGCGGGGCACACCAGAAACAAGATTCACAAATTGTATGGTTGTACGTCACTTTTAGCCATACTCCAGCTAAAGCACAGCGAGGCACACCAGAAACAAGATTCACAAATTGTTTGGTTGTACGTCACTTTTAGCCACAATCCAGCTAAAGCACGGCGGGGAAACAAGATTCACAAATTGTAAGCCTATGCGTGGAACGCCAACCCAAGCTGCAGGATGAAGTTTAATCCACCAGGCAACAAAACGACCCTCTCAAATGGTAGATTATATCTCGTGTTATTGTAAGCCCGTAACTATAGACGATAACAAAACACTGTCGGACCATGTATTCTTTTTTTTCTTACATTGTATTTAAAAAAGAAGAACCTGCTACCTTAAATGCGCTTCCGCCCAGGGTAGCAGAACGCCCATGACATATAACACAACTTATCAATACATCTTAGTTGTTTTTTTACAGAAAATAACACACTTTTCACTCAGACATTCACTCTAGTAATACAAACATACTGCATATATCAAGTATGCATAAAACTATTTAAGTTTATTTTATCATATTGAAGTGTAGGAAAGTAAATGGTCTCAAACATTAAAGTCTTAAGTACAAAACTAAAATTAAAATGAAAGCTGCTCTTCATTTTCGAAAAGTTGATGATACAGCATCCAAGCACCATAGAATTTCTGTTGATTACCCAGCTTGAAAGCAATGACTATTTCAATGTTGTATCGTAAAAAGCTTCCTTTTTGTAAACATGAAAATAAGGTTTTGTATTTTGGAATTTGCATCTATAAATATAGAACTTAGTTAGTAAAAGTAAATCAAACACTTTATCTGTTTTTATGTTCTCTTTAAGAACCATGTATTCTTATTTGAGATATGTAAGATGTATGATGAATTTCTTTCAAATACATATAGTTCTGATCGTCTTATTAGAAGACACCGCATTGTTGGCGATCAACGAGCTTAACTTACTTTTACAGGCGCTTCTACACCATTTAGGTGATGTCTGAAGATGTTATGCGGGCAGTAAATGTGTTCGCAATGGTAACCTGTCTGTTTTCACGTGATACTTTTTTACAGACGGACTATTAGCCATTCAATCCCCCAGTGTAGTAATCTATTTCAATCGAATTTGTGTGAAGATATTCTAATTTTCGTCACGGTCGCCACACGCCAGGTTTGTTAAGATTAGTGCATATTATTATCTATTTCAGGATTACTTACATCGATCTTCGATATCAACGATTAACCTGTTGCAATTGTTTCATTTTTCATCAAGAAATAATAGTTACTTAATGATTAATAAGCACAACTGAAGTGAGGCTCGACATGTGATAATATGTTAGCGACTTTATACTGATATGAAGAGACAGAACCCAGTTTACTGACATGGCGCACATGCATTTGCATGTTGAGTTCAGCTGTTGTAATCAATCGCCTTATGGCCATGTTAATTGAAATAACATTACGAAAATATTCATTTTCTAATTTCTAAACATTTTGTCCTATTGCGATTATATGACAGTAGATGGATAATCGTCTTAACTGTACAAGTATTGACTTATAATTAGATGAATCGCTTAATCGTTATTTTTGCGATTATTTGTTGTAATATTTTCTGCGAGATAGTCCTTGATCCGCTCAGCCAATTGTATATTCGCGTTATTTCGTAAAATGTATATAAGCTACCCATCTTGATTCAGGGAACAAAGACATTATCCACATGTGGTCAGCGAAACTATTTTAATTAGTATTATTAAAGTGTAGACAAAATATAACGTCCCAGTCAGCGGCTCACGGAGTCAAGTTCTCGTGCAACTGCTTGTT